TCCAAAGCGCTTGCAGCCATCAGCACCATGGACAGCGGAAAGCGCTGCCCCGGGGTCTACAGTGCTTCGGATTCCTGGCAGTTGTACTTGCTAGGACCCTGTCTAAAATCTTTGCCTGTGAACTTGGAACTTCCTAGAGAAAGTTTGAGTAAAATTTTCAATTATGGGCCGGGCGCGGTGGCTCAAGCCTGTAATCCCAGCACTTTGGGAGGCCTAGGTGGGCGGACCACGAGGTCAAGAGATCGAGACCATCCTGGCTAACATGATGAAACCTCGTCTCTAATAAAACTACAAAAATTAGCCAGGCGTGGTGGCACGCGCCTGTGGTCCCAGCTACTTGGGAGGCTGAGGTGGAAGAATTGCTTGAACCCAGGAGGCGAGGTTGCAATGAGCCGAGATTGCGCCACTGCACTCCAGCCTGGGGACAGAGCAAGATTCCATCTCAAAAAAAAAAAAAAAAAATACACTACGTTTCAATTATGGCCAGGACTCTATTGCCTCTCCTGGAGCTATCTTCAAAGAGGTCCTGACTCAGCATTTTTTCTCCTCAGTCCCATGGAGCCTCTGTGGGATATGGGAAGAGAACAGTATTGTTGGACATCTGGGACAGGGTGTTGATGCTCCACTTCTCTGTACTGGGCCTGGTCTTCTGCAACGGCAAAGATGACAGAATTTTCTGTCTCATTTCTTCTATGCTCTTCCAATCAGGTCACATGGTTCCTCTACCAGTCATGACTTTCCTGATGGGGTGTGAACTATGCCTTAAAAGGGTCTTTATAAACCTAGCACAGTTTAAGGGACATCTGTAGTCTGCTCTTATTAGTGATCCACTGGCGGAAAGGTCTAGCATTCTTATGCTGCTAGCATAAGAATGGGTGTCTAAACCCCCGTATTCTTAAAGTGATTAAAACTAAAACCAAATACAAATGAGGCTGGGTGCGTTGGCTCAGCCTGTAATCCCAGCACCTTGGGACGCTGAGGTGGGTGGATCACCTAAGGTCAGGAATTTGAGACCAGCCTGACCAACATGGAGAAACCTTGTCTGTACTAGAAACACAAAAAATTAGCTGGGCGTGGTGGCACATGCCTGTAGTCCCAGCTACTGGGGAGGCTAAGGCAGGAGAATCGCTTGAACCTGGGAAGTGGAGGTTGCAGTGAGCCGAAATTGCACCATTGCACTCCAGCCTGGGGTACAAGAGCAAAATTCCATCTCAAAAAAAAATGAAATTGTGTTTCAGTACTGAAATGATGGAGAATGACACCCACAAATCACACACAACCAGAGAGAAGCTCCTGATGGGTTGAGCTCACATCAGACCATGGCATGTGGCAAAATCAACCTCCCTGCTTTATACGCAGACACACACAGACACACAGACACACACACACACACACACACACACACACACACACAGCTTTACCAAGAAAATGCCACAATGTATAGGAATTAAAAAGAGGAAATTGTGGTTGATCTTCACTATCAGCTGCTTGCTAGTAAGGCTAATGATGATGAAATGGGCTTTTGAAGAGATAAGACCACTCTGGAACCCCTTTCTAATGCCATAACTCATCTGTTTCCAGATGAAAATTGGTGGTATAAGATGGACCCACAGAGAAGGTGTGGGTCCCTCTTGTCTATGCGCAGGTCTTTCTCTGAGCTTACATCTCATTAATATAGACGCTGGGCATGGTGGCACACATCTGTAGTCCCAGCTACTCCAGGAGGCTGAGGAGGGCCAACTGCTTGAGCCCAGGAGTTAGAGGCCAGCCTGGGCAACTTAGCAAGATCCTATCTCTTTTTTGCTGCTGTTGTTTGTTTCTTTGCTTTTTGAGACAGAGCCTCTCTCTGTTGCCCAGGCTGGAGTGCAGTGGCATGATCTCGGCTCACAGCAACTTCCGCCTCTTAGGTTCAAGTGATTCTCCTGTCTCACCCTCCCAAGTAGCTGGGATTACAGGTACGCACCACCACGCCTGGCTAATTTTTTATATTTTTTATAGAGATGGGGTTTCACCATGTTGGCCAGACTGGTCTCAAGCTCCTAACCTCTAGTGATCCACCTGTCTTGGCCTCCCAAAGTGCTGGGATTACCAGGGTGAGCCACCGCGTCCAGCCAAGACCCCATTTCTTAAAAAAAAGGGACTGACACTGGGCCGTAGCTTCCTGAGGAGTTGCTAGAAGTGAAAATGAGGGCCAGGATAATCCCAAACTTCCCCCACTGTCCCTGTGGTGTGAGGGGCTGGGGAAGATGAGAACCTCATCCAGAGAGGACCATGGGGAGAGAAGTGTCTTCAAAGAGAAGTACATGTCAGGTAAGTTACAAGGACAGCAGAAGACCATTGTGTGTACAATCTGGGGAAGAAATTTTTTTTTTAATCTTAGAATGGAGGTTCTACCTGCCTCTTTGGGAAGGGGTGTCTGTACGAGATGGGGGAAGGATGTGTTGGGAAAATGGAAGCTCAGAGCAGTATGTGACAGTGGGATGGGGGTTGCTACTTGATACCAGGAGAGATGTGAATTGGGGCCATACAGAATGGGATGTGAAGAGGACATGGAAGAGATTCACCTGTTTTCATGGGGCCTGAACAGTTGGGATGGCAAGGGTGTGGTCTATGAGGTTCCTACCTCCTGGGTCAGGGAGGGTACACGTGGCCAAGTTCAGGTCAGCTTACCACTCCATGACATTTTCTTACGAGACAACATGATGTTTTTTTCCATTGAAGGAGGGGCTGGGAGAAGCCACAAGGAATGAGGTGATGTTCGCAGAAGGTAGGTATCAGAAAATCTTGGCTTCAGTGCTGTCCTGTATCTGCAAGCCTGAGACTGGGGAATGGTGTGAGCTGAAAATACTCTGCCGGTGGAAAGCTGGGGCAGGAGGAAGGCCATCCTTCCACAGGCAGGGATTGAGAAGAAGGCTTAAAAGGGTAGCAGGAATGATGGTCTGTTTGTTTGCTGGAGAGGCGGTGGGAGACAGGGATTGTGGAAGAATAAAGAAGGCTTCAAAGCCAGGTACCATAGTACATGCCGGTAATCCCATCTACTTGGGAGGATCGGCAGGAGGATCACTTGAGCCCAGGAGTTCAAGACAGGCCTGAGTATCGTTGTAAGACTCTCTTAAAAAAAAAAAAAAAAAAAAGGCCAGGTGCGGTGGCTCATGCCTGTAATCCCAGCACTTTGGGGGGCTGAGGCAGGTGGATCACCTGAGGTTGGGAGTTTGAGAACAGCCTGACCAACATGGAGAAACCCCATCTCTACTAAAAATACAAAATTAGCTGGGTGTGGTGGTGCATGCCTGTAATCCCAGCTACTTGGGAGACTGAGGCAGGAGAATCAATTGAACCCAGGAGGCAGAGGTTGCAGTGAGCTAAGATCATGCCATTGCACTCCAGCCTGGGCAACAGAGAAAACTCCATCTCAAAAGAAAAGAAAAGAAAAGAAAAAAGCCAGGCATGGTGGCTCATGTCTGTAATCTCTGCACTTTGGGAAGCCAAGGTGGGTGAATTACCTAATGTCAGGAGTTTGAGACCAATCTGGCCAACATGGCGAAATCCTGTGTCTACTAAAAACACAAAAATTAGCTGGGTGTCGTAGCAAGCGCCTGTAATCCCAGCTACTCAGGCTGAGGCAGAAGAATGGCTTGAACCTGGGAGGTAGAGGCTGCAGTGAGACGAGATCACACTACTGTACTCCAGCCTGGGCAACAAAGGGAGACTCCATTTCAAAAAAGAAAAAAAAAAAAAAGAAAGAAGCTTTTCAGGTACTCTTATATGGTAGTACAGTACAGACCAGCCCCATGAGTTTTCTTACTGGAGAAATCAGCCTCTCTCCAGATGAGGCAGAGAGAGAAAAAAATCTCCTGTTGGGTTAGATAAAGGAATCCCCCAGGCTCTTTCTTCAAAACCACCCCTATCCTGACACCACCTAAATGAAGTATTTTAGGGACCTTTTCCCAGAGCTCTAGCCTTGGTCACCTTGAGGATTGGCTTTTTTCCACTCATTGTAATGTCCTGGCGATTCATTGAGTTGTGTGTGTCACAGTAACCCGTTCCGTTTTGTGTGTGTATGTGTGTGTCTTGTTTGTTGTTGTTGTTTTTTGAGACAGCGTCTCAATCTGTTGCCCAGGCTGAAATGGAGTCACTCAATCTCGGCTCCCAGCAACCTCCACCTCCCCGGCTCAGGTGATTCTCCTGACTCAGCCTGTCAAGTAGCTGGGATTACAGGTGCTCGCCATCACACCCGACTAAGTTTTGTATATTTAGTAGAGACAGGGTTTTGCCACGTTGGTCTGGTCTCAAACTCCTGACCTCAAGTGATCTGCCCACCTCAGCCTCCCAAAGTGCTGGGATTACAGGCGTGAGCCACCGCACCTGCTGAACCCGCCCCTTTTTATTGCGAGCGGTATTCCACGGAGTAGATGAACCACGGTTTGTTCGTTCATTCACTCATCGAAGGGCGTTTGGGTTTTTCCCAATTTGGAGCTCTTATAAATAGACCCACTATGAACATTTGTGTACAGGCTTTTTTGGTGAACAGAAGTTTTCATTTCTGTGGGATAAATGCTCAGGAGTGGAATTGCTGGAACATATGGTGAGGATATGTTGAATTTTATAAGAAACTGCACAACTGTTTTCCAGTCTTTGGGCTTTCTTAAGTTACTTTTCTTTTTCGTTAATTTGTTCATCTCCTCTCAGGAGATTCCAGGGCAAGCGATCTTTGATTTGATGATCATTAACAGCTCAACTCAGGGATGCAGTCAGCGTCTTAGAAGTGAGAACCTGTATGGAAACTTTGTTTTGGTTTTCCAAGCAATTTGCTTTTGTTGTCATATTAGGGTAAAGTTATCATCCTTGTTATAATTACATGTAGGTATAAAATATCATAGAAGCCTTTCAAAAGTTTTAAGAACATAGAGAGGTGAAAAACATGAGCCCAAGCCCATAATCTGCTACTGTTTTTTACTTAAGTTACTGAATTTCTTTGAACTTCACTTTTTTTTCTTTTGTTTTTGAACTTCACTTCTTCAGTAAATCAGGGAAGAGTATTTTCCTGGGAGTTGATTGTAAACACTAAAATATAAAAAGCGATGTAAAATGCCTGGGTCATTGTAGGCGCCGAACAGAACATAATTGTTATGATAATGATCAGCTACCTCAAACCCCCGATTTAATTCTGTCTTTATCCTTGTTTAACAGCTGAGCATTTAATTAGCAGCAGACTGAGCTGAGATGCGTGGTCACCCGCCCAGTGTAAGGCCTAGGGGTTGGAAGGAGGATGTCAACGCTACCCTCAAGTGTCAGAGCAGAACTCCTGGGCAGGAAACCCACCCCACTGGACCCACCGCTGTTAGCATGCAACACGGAAACATCTCTACAGCACCATCATGGGCACCATCTAAAAGTCCCTCAAGTGACAGCCCCTGACACAGATCCTTAGGGACAGCCCAGGGTGTGATGGCTGGAGGGTATCCTTCATGGGCAACCCATGGTGCAGCCTTCCCCAGGTCCCTGCTCCATGATCTCTCCTGTGAACCACAGAGTCATCTTAAATGGCCTGGGACCTTTGCCCACTCATGCCAAGCCCTGTGGTTCCTCTCAGCTAGCTGCTTGGGTTGTCGGAATTTCCTCAGCTCTGGGGTTGGCGTAGAGGAGGGTCTTCTGCTTGAGGAGGGCAAAGGAGGCCTCTGGGCTCTCAGACTAGTACGGGAGGGCCTGAAGGGTGCTGGCCCAGCTGTGTGCAGGAGAGCAGTTCAGCCCAACAGAGCCAGAGTGGCTCAGATAGGTGGGATGTGTCCAGGCAGAAAGAGTCCCTTCAGTTTGCTGAAAGCCACACACCCCAGGCAGGCCAAGGACCTGCATGTCTGCTCCAGGTTTTGCCAAAGAGGCCAGTCCTTCCCCCACCCCTCGGGGCCCCTGTCTCCCCACAATCATGGACCTTAATGGCACTGAGATAATGACTTTCACCCAATCTACACCATCAGCCCCCCACTCTGGGGTCTCCCCTCCAGCACTCCAGCCTCAGGGGTCTGGGGACCTCTCTTAATAGGCACTCACAGGGAGTGGACCAGGCTCTCATCACTGTGACAGCCCCCACCAACACAGTGACACAGGGACACTGGGAGTCAGAAAAGGCCCTCAGTCCCCAGCTTTTCACTCTACTCTCCTTCCCAGTGTGATCTGATTCACTGTTGTTATTGTTCACAATGAATGTGTGTTTATCTTTTCTTTTCTTTTCTTTTTGAGATGGAGTCTCCCTCTGTCACCCAGGCTGAAGTGCAGTGGCACTCACTGCAACCTCACTGCAAGCCTCCCAGGTTCAAGCAATTGTTGTGCCTCAGCCTCCTGAGTAGCTGGGATTACAGGTGCCCACTCCCACGCCCGGGTAATTTTTGTATTTTTAGTGGAGACGGGGCTTCACCATGTTGGCCAGGCTGGTCTTGAAATCCTGACCTCAAGTGATCCACCCACCTCAGCCTCCCAAAGTGCTGGGATTATAGGCGTGAGTCACTGTGCATAGCCGAACGTGTGTTTTTCATAAAATGATGTATTTAATTTTAAAAAGAGGAAAAAGGAGTTTTAAGTGTGATCTGCTGTTCCCTCACCACATACAAACATGTACAAGAATATGTCTACCTTGCAATGCACAAAGGAAAGTCTTGACCTCTTCCTAGAAAAATGAGGACTCTGTCACCTCCAGTGAGTTGACAAAAAGTGGAGGCAGACTTCAATGTTCTTTTCTGGGTCCTTTAGGATTGGTTATATCATTTACAAGGAACTGGTACTTCTTTTGGAGTAAAAATAAATTTGAATAGGCATACGTTGGCACAGATTCATATGCAAGGATGTTGGCTGTGGCAAAATTTAGAGACCATTTTGAGATTGACAAGCTAAACTTCTATCAATAAGGAATTGACTAAAGTTGTGATCTACTCTTCCAATTAAATATAGACTTTTAAATTGTGCTTTTATACATTATCTGATGATATGGGAAAATGTTCTTCATTTAATGTTAAGTATTTTTTGATTTTTTTTTGTTTTTTTGTTTGTTTGTTTTTGAGACAGGGTCTCACTCTTTCACACAGGCTAGAGTGCAGTGGTGTGATCACAGCTCACTGCAGCCTCAGCTTCCCAGGTTCAAGTGATCCCCATCTCAGCCTCCCAAATAGCTATGACTACAGGCACACGAAACCATGCCCGGCTAATTTTTGTCTGTTTTATAGCGACGGAGTCTCCCTATGTTGCCCAGGCTGGTCTCAAACTCCTGGGCTCAAGCGATCCTACTGCGTTGGGCTCTCAAAGTGCTGAGATGATTATAGGCTCAGCCACTGTGCCCGGCCAAATTTAAATACAGTGTGATTTTATATATATTAATATTAATGATTGTCTCTGGGTGATAAGATTAGGAGCAATTTATAATTTTCTTACTTTTGTTGTAAATTTTCAAATTTTCTAAAATTGATTTTCATCCGTTTGATCTGCAAGAAAAAAACAACAGTGATCAAAAGAAACGCAAAGGCGCATTTGAGCCTGGGGAGGGCCCACTGGTCCTCGACGCCGCCTCCCTGAAACGGGATTTCCAGGGGCTCGTGCTTCCCACCCCACCCTCCCCACCTTTTCGTCCAAACTTCCCCTCGTCTAATCCAACCACCTCTTGACCCTCAATACTTCAATTGAGGGGACCTGAGGTGCCTTTTCTGTGGCCATCCTATAGCTCCCCCAGCCTGTTTAGTAGCCGGGGTGGTAGAGGGGCACCAAGGTGAGGGCTGCCTGGGACCTGCTCTCTCTGCAGGTCCCGCCGCGCCCCCGCGTCAGTGCTGGGGAGCGGAATCCCGCACGTGTGAGTGGACGGACCGCGCGGAGACTCTGCCACCCTGGCCCCCGGCCCCGGTCCCAGCAGGTTTTCCAGCCAGGGGACTGAATCCGAGCGCCGCTGCGAACCCTGCACCTTCTCCGCGTGCTCCCAGCCCGGCAGCCCCAGGGAAGCCGACAAAGGCGGCAAACTGGCCCGCGTCGCTCCGGGCACAGGCGACCGAGGCCAAGACCAGCTCGGGCGTCTCTGGTTCTCGGGCTCCGCCCCGCGGCCACCCGGCCCGCTGCACCCGAGAGCCCCGGGCTCTGCCCCGTGCTGCTCCTGCAAGGCTGCCATCCACACCCGCCAGCCTGCAGGCTCCTCGGGGTCCACGTGTCCTGGCCACATCCCACCCCTGGCACACCCGGGTAGGTCCCAGAGTGTGCACTGAAGGCGATGCCTGGAGGCAAGTGTCCATTTCTGCCCCCTCAACCTGCATCTTTGCCAGCCCCAGAATTCCAGCCCTTCCAGAACTTTCTGGCCTCTTTAGCCAGGTTGCCTTCTGTATCTGAGGTGGGTGGGGCAAGACTCCCCACAGCCCAAGCCTCCTGAACTGGGGAGGACGATTAGTCAGACAGCAGACACAGGATGGTGCTGTCTCACTAACTGATGGGGAAGTAACACTGTCTTTTAAGAGAGTGATGGTGGACCTTAGATTCTGCTAAGGGTCTGTTCTGCTTCTGCCCCAACTAAACTGGTAGGTAATTTTAGGAACTATGGTTCCCATCTACAGTTGGCAGGGCCCTTATACCCCAACCCTTCCAAACTCTGATTCCATCATCTGTGGGAGCCAATCTGCCACTGCTGGGGCTAGATGGGTCATATCCCTCCTTACAGATGAAGAACCTGAACCTCAGCGAGGCAATGATAGTGCGTGACAGAGCAGGCCTAGAACCCAGGCGTCCTGTAGAATCCAGTGCTCTTTGCTCTACCCCTCACTCCCTTTCTGCATGTGAGCTGGGAAAGTTGGGAGCGGTCAGGAGTGACTCCGCCACATCTGGGTCCCCACGGGCTGCATCTCCACAGAGCCCTGCTGCAGGGGAGCTGGGCCTGGGCCTGCATTGTGGGGAGAGAGGGTTGCATGACCACCCTTTCTGATCTTCCACCTTCTCTCCAGCTTCCTAGGAACACCCAAGAGCAGTGAGGGACAACCAGTGACTTGTCCCTCATGTGTTCTCTGCTGAATTGGGCAGTGGGCCTAATAACCACCTTGTTCTCACACCAATCCTCACCCTCTAGGCAGGGCAGAGGGATGTCTCCCATCTCCCCACCTCACTCCCAACCTACCTACAGCTCTCTCCCAAAAACCAGAGGTAAGGACCAGAGCTGGACCCCCATGGCCTAGCCCAGACCATGGACAAGCTCAGGTAGCTAGAGAGGCAGGAGTGGTTGGAGAGAGGTCTGTGCTGTTGGCTGCTTAGGGGCCAGACCACTACAAGGGCCCAATGGGTGAGGCTGATGTAGGGGGCTGACTCCCAGAGGTGGGTGTGGGGGAGGGAACTGGCATAGTTTCCCATAGAGAACCTGACTCCCCCTCTCCCCAGTGTCCTGGGGGACAGGGCTAGAAGTTGGGGATTCTGTGTCTCTGCAGGATAAGAGGTGTTGTGTATGGCTGGGCGTGGTGGCTCACACCCGTAATCACAGCACTTTGAGAGGCCAAGGCGAGTGGATCATGAGGTCAAGAGATCAAGACAATCCTGGCCAACATGGTGAAACCCTGTCTCTACTAAAAATACAAAAATTAACTGGGTGTGGTGGCGCGTGCCTGTAGTCCCAGCTACTCGGGAGGCTGAGGCAGGAGAATCCCTTGAACCCAGGAAGCGGAGGTTGCAGTGAGCTGAGATCACGCCACTACACTCTAGCCTGGCAACCAAGTGAGTCTCTGTCTCCAAAAAAAAGAAAAGAAGAGGTGGTGTGTATTGGGGTGCACACAGCCTGAGTTTGGAGATGCTTCTATATGAGTCATTTGTCATCACTGGGCGGCACCTTCAGCCATCATCACACATTTGTGGCCTGATTCTCTTTGACCTGCTTCGGTAGATACCCAAGTAGAAGTAAGAGAAGGTAATGAGTCCTATTAAGGCTCTTTCTCATAGTGAAGTGGGTGCTTTGGGGAGATCGGGGTGTCCTCTGGTGGATGCTTGAGGGATTTCACTATATCTTTTCCATCCTCCATGTACAGTCATGCACCGCATAACATTTGTCCAGAATAGACCACATATATGACGGTGGTCCCATAAGATTACCATATGGGCCGGGCGCGGTGGCTCAAGCCTGTAATCCCAGCACTTTGGGAGGCCGAGGCGGGTGGATCACGAGGTCAAGAGATCGAGACCATCCTGGTCAACATGGTGAAACCCCGTCTCTACTAAAAATACAAAACATTAGCTGGGCATGGTGGCGCATTCCTGTAATCCCAGCTATTGAGGAGGTTGAGGCAGGAGAATTGCCTGAACCCAGGAGGTGGAGGTTGAGGTGAGCCGAGATCGCGCCATTGCACTCCAGCCTGGGTAACAAGAGTGAAATTCCGTCTCAAAAAAAAAAAAAAAAGAGAAAAAAAGATTATCATATGGTATTTTTACTGTGCATTTGATATGTTTAGATACACAAATACTTACCACTGTGTTACAGTTTCCTAAGTATTCAGTACAGTAACATGCTGCGCAAGTTTGTAGCCTAGGAGCAGCAGGCTATGCGCGTAACCTAGGCGTGCAGTGGGCTCTACCATGCAGGTTTGCGGAGGTCCACTCTGATGTGCGCACCACAATGAAATCACTCAGCAACACATGCCCGCCCGTCATTACAGACGTGACTGCAGTTTCATGACCATTTCCATCCCACCCCGACTCCACTCACGGGCCCATTGAGTGGTCTCTTTATTAAGGACAAAAAGAGTTCTGGGGTCCAAAGATGGAGTTTCAACACAGGAAACCCTATTATTGTATATACAAGCAATTAATAGCAGTGATTACGTGCTTTACAAATAGCTCAATAATTCCTCACAAGCTACCCCGTCAGGTAAATACTTATCATCCCTATTTTACAGATGAGGAAATTGTGGGACAGAGAAGTTAAGTGATTTGCCTCAGGCTGCACAGCTACTCTCGATTCCAGCTCCTTTGCTATTAAGCACTCTGCCATGCTGCCTCCCACTGGTGTGGGAAGGCTCATACAGTAATACAGTCACAGCCAGGGACTTGTGTGCATGCAACAGAGAGAATTTTCCCAGTCCTCTTCTCTGACTTCCCCAAAGCTCCTCCAGCACCTCCCCAGGATGTCTCTGTCCTGACACATGAATGGAGAGTCTGAGCCTCCCCTCTCTTTTAGTCACTTCTGGTGGTAGAAAATGAGGGAGGAGGCTGGGTGCTCAAAGCTCAAAGACTCTCAGGGAGAATCAGGGTACTCCAAGTTAAATGGACCATCACCAACTGTACCAGAAGCCAGTGTAGACATGGGCTAGTCCAATGAGGTCCACACTGTCTTTCTGTTCTCCAGTCTCGTAGCCTGGAGTGGGTCCTGATGGATGATCACAAGACTTACCTCTCTTCTGAAACCTGAAACCTGGGGGTGTGTGGGGTCAGGAGAACTCCCTTTTTTATAAAGAAATGAAGCCTCTTCCCAAGACCACTCACTCAGCACATGTTTGTTGACAATATACTGTGAGTGCTGAGAGACAGGGCTACAAAGGCAGATAAAGAGCATATCTCTGCCTTTGAGGGACCCTGCCTTAGCAGAGGAAGGAGAGATGAGTAAGCAATGATTGTGATTTCATCTGATGGGTGTGCAGTGGGGGGCGATTACTGAAGAAAGGGGGCTGAACTCCACTTGGGTGGGACAGGAAAGGCTTTGGAGGAGTTGCCCTTGGGATTAGTCTTGGAGGGTGGGTCAGGATTAATTAGCTTGGATAAGAGCATCACTGTGAAGCACATGCAAAATGCAGCCATCTGAAACAACGGGGCA